ATTTACACATGTTTTCTTTTTAGAAATTTAGTGTACAAAACTTAATGACAGAAGATAGTGAATTGTACTATTTTTAGATGTACATGCAGTATAATAATAATGATAAACAAAACATAAAATGTACATGTACATATAGCAATTAATGATAGCACTAAAACCAATAATACATTTAATAACTAGGAATATTAATGACAAACCACTATCTATACTTATTTATGTACACAACAGTGTAGGTGATGTACATGTAGTGTACATGTAAATGTTTGAAGCATAGCAAAAGAATTTGAAATGTACAGGTACAATGTACATGTATCTAGATGTTCCTGCATGAGAATGAGTACAAGGTAGAAGCTACTCCACCTTTTTATATTGTATATAGTACTCTCACTGTTGGCCGTATCAGTTGCATATTGACAAAAATAAATTTAGTTCACACATACATGTACTACATGTGTATACCAAGATTTTAGAAATGAAAAGCTAATTAACTGTTTCACAAAGCTTTTGTGAACCACTTCCATACTGCTTACTGTACATTACATTTACATGATGTACTGTATGCACTCATGTACAGTCATGTAGCTACAAATTCTTGTTCATTCATGTATGATTCTAAAAATTAATGTTACGTCTTGCATCATGTTCTATCCTTTAACTACTGTAACTATTCTCACATAGTCAGACCCCTATTCTCTGTGACACTGAAACAGTGTCTGGCCAGGTATACACAAGGCTACCCTTAGTTGTTTTGTCTAAACTACAATGTGAAAGAACCACATACTATGCATATTTACATGTCCAGAAATTGCAATGCAAGGAGTGGTCACATTAATTTAATGATATTCATTGATGTCACCATAGCAACGAGTAATGGTGGAGCATGAAGATGGTTCAGTGCCTCTCTGAGGCAAAATAACTTGTGTCTAGTGTAAGGCTGTGACTTCATGACACTGTGAAAGCATTCTATGATTCTTATAATTAAAGTGCAGGGGTTATTTTTATCTTATTCTGACGTTTTGACGGCAAGTGTGACACTAACAGTGTCAGAATGCAAATTTTGATGGTATTCTTGCTGTTAAAGATTCTCTGTATTTCTAAACTATTAAAAAGATCATTATTAAGGTTCATTTAGTTATCCTGAGGCACTGAGAAACTTGTTTGTGTTGCACTGGCTGAGATTCATGCAACCCGTAGCGCAAAATTGCACAACTTTGCCTGTTCAGGTTCCTATGATTTGCATAATACTACCCCTTAATTTATACACCATTGTGCTTTAAAAAAGTTTTACTTCAAGTTTTTTAACCGGCAAAGTCCTCAAAATAAACAGTGTTGTAGTTTTGACCCTTCAAAAAAGGAAAAATTTTTTAAATTGATCAATCTTGATGTAAAAATGGCGTCAATGACCATGGTATCTTCTAGAAGGTCGGTTACCATTAGAACAGTCACAGATCAGGATCACTTTTGGCAAAACAATAGCTATAGTGTTGAACAAACTAAACAGAAACCGGCACTTTGATCAACTTCTTTGCTTTTCAAGTTGTATGGTGCTGAACCAATCCTACCATTACTACACTGTATAAAATTAAAAGTGAGTATGCAGAAAGTATACTAGAAATTTCCTACCAATGACATTCCATTTCTGGACATGATCTTTTTTAGGGGAACAATTGCAACACTAGAAACTTCATGTAATGTATTATTACCTTGTTATTATAGAGAGGAGATACTGCTCTTATTGAAGCAGCAAGGGGAGGAAACTGTGATGTTGTAGAATTACTGTTGAAGAAAGGAGCTGATCCTTCACATTCAAACTATGTAAGTTATTTGTAGGCAATGTAATGTACACATGTAATTAGAATTTTATTTATTAGTTTCCTTAGAAGTACTAGAGTAGTACTACCTGCATGTACATGTGCGGTGTATAAGCACAAGCCAAGAACTACTGTATTCAAAGGCTATAAATTTCATGGGTGTCACAATTTACCGTAATTCCTCTAAATATTCGACGCTCTAAATTCGAAAATAAATAATTATTTCAAAATTTCTACCATAATTCATTCTAAAAATTCGTTTTTAATATTATTGTTCCACGTGGTTCTAATTTCATCACTTACCTAAGTTCAGTATGAGAGAAGGATACTCTGAATAGCCAGGTTAATATACAGCTGGTTTTGTATATTAATGGATCCCTCCAAATTCAACAAAATAATTTATTTTTGAGCTTCATAGCTACTCTCCCTCTAAAAATTCGTTTTTAAAAATTACAAATACAAAACTTGATGCGACAAATTTTTAGAGGAAATACGGTATAAAAGATTTGTGAAAATTGATTTTGCGAAAATCAAATTATTACCGTACAAGATGACATGAATTTTTTAATTAAATCTGCAAAATTGATTTTGCCAATTTTTTTTATAGCCCTCAAAAATTTGGCACTATATGGTATACTGCTTATTATATGTTTAATGAGTATAAAGCTCATTTGTAGTAAACTAATTTTATTATGTAGTTAGTATTGATATTGTAATTATTATTAGTGTTAATGTTATTATTAATGGTTAGGTTATGTTATTATTAGTGATTATGTAATGTACCTAAATATAGAACCTTTTTAATGTTTTTAAGTTCTGTACTGCATACACGATACTTAGTTAGTTGTTTAGTTAATTCTTAGTTACTTCTTTGTAAAATATCTTGTTATCAAGAGCAAACGCGTGCTATTATTGTCACTAAGTCCCAAAGTTACCACATATTTGGCGACGAGGCTAAAAAGAGAAGATGTCAATCTGTGGACAGTTGGAACCGTTTGACCCAGCTTGTCACAATTTCAAGAGATACGCTCAGAGATTTGAGTTTTATGTACAGGCAAATGGCATAGAAGAGGAGAGGAAGAAATCAGTGTTCCTGACATTGATAGGCTACGAAACCTACGAACTGCTTGCAAATATATACGAGCAGCCAGAGACTCAGTCACTAGATGAGCTGATTGGGAAACCTACCTCTCATTTTCACCCCAAATCATCTATAATTGCAGAACGTTATCAGTTTGGTTGCAGAAGGCAAGGAGACCTGGAAACTATTGCTGACTACGTTGCAGAGCTACGCAAACTAGCTACAAGATGTAACTTCAAGAAAGACGCTCTTGACGAGACGCTTCGGGACAGATTTGTTTGTGGACTACGACAGGAGTTCATAAGAAGCAGGCTACTCACAGAGAAGGATGATCTATCGTTTAGTCGTGCTGTGGAACTTGCTACAGGCTTAGAAGGGGCAAAGAAGCATGCTCACATGATGAAAGGTGACCTCGCGAGTACAAAGAAAGAGCAGCAGGATGGTATCAACCGCACAGCAGACAAGAGACCTCCTATGAAGCCGTGTTACAGATGTGGGAATGCTCATTCACCTTCCACCTGTCGCTTCAGTACTGCCAAGTGTCATAACTGTGGTAAACTTGGTCACATAGGAAAGGTCTGTAGGAGCAAACCACAGAAGCCAGCTACCTCAAAGCCACCACAGAGAAAAGATAGGTCCTCCCGCCATGTAAACAATTTGGACAATGAAAACTGTGACTCTACTGTTTCTGCACACACATCCACACATACTACCACGCAAAGCACACATGATTTGTACACAATTAACACTCTCTCCT